TGTGTGTGGGGGGGCGTGTGTGTGTGCATGTGTGTGCGTGCGTGCGTGCGTGCGTCCGTGCGTGCGTGCGTTCGTGCGCGTGCGTGCGTGCGCGCGCGCGTCCGTGCGTGCGTGCGTTCGTGCGTGTGCGTGCATGTGTGCGCGCGCGTGTTAGAATGTGTCACACGATATCAGATTACACAATCGTCGTTGATGTTATGCCATCACTACCCTTCTCACTTTTCCCTCATCTTTGCCGAATGTTAACCGTGTACTTGACTTTTTTTATCTGCTCAACGCATCCAGTGCATGTAAGCATGCCAGCACGTAACCGTGTAAGCGTGTGAATGTGTAAACATGTAAACATGTAAACATGCAAGAAGGTAAACATCAAAGCATGTAAGGACGTAAGCATATAAACGTGTGAGGCTGTAAGCATGCCAGCATGTAAGCATATAAGCATATAAATAATATAAGCATGCAAAATTGTAAACATGTAAGGGTGTAAGCATAATAAACATATAAGCGTGTTAGCGTGTAAAAATATAAACATGTGTTCATGTAAACGTGTATATATACGCATGACAATACGTACGTGAACTCAAGCTAATGATGTTTCCCATCGATGTGTCGCAGGTACGTGGAAAGGCGTCTTAGAGGTAGCGATAAAGACGCTGAAGTCAGGCACTACGTCATCCAGCTCCTTCCTACAGGAGGCAAAGATCATGACGAAGACACGGCACGACAAGCTCGTGCAGTTATACGGCGTCTGCTCGGAGGAAGACCCAATCTACATAGGTGAGCGGTTTAATACACGTAGTGGTGTCAGGTCTATCGATATCTACGTATTTTATCGGTATAACTGAGGTAGTAGAGTTACTGTGTCTTTAGAAACTGCTATCTACATATGTCCGCGCTGTATTACACGTAATGATGCTGTGCGTATCTATAGAAACTCTTTTCTATAGGTGAGCGATGTAATACAGGTAGTAGTATCAGGTGTGTCTATACCTTCATAGGTGAGCGGTATACTTTAGGTAGTACAGTTACTTGTGTCTATAGAAATATTCATCTACATTATTACATCAGTGGAGTAATTATTACTCCACTGATGTAATAATGTAGATGAATATTTCTATAGACACAAGTAACTGGACTACCTAAAGTATACCGCTCTAAATTCAGGTCGCACATAGTAAAGCCTTATGCGCTTGTATATAGTAGGCTAATTCGTAACAGTCTTTATTAGTAATTAATAATAATAGTTTACTTTAATTCATGTTAATTCATTATTACTTGTTGGCAGTCACGGAGTATATGAACAATGGTAACTTGCTACACTACCTGCGGCAGGGCGCGGGCAGGGAGGCCGACCTCGGTATGATGATTGACATAGCAGCACAGGTAAGACACACTAGCACAGACATTGCTGAGACCGCGAGTGAGTGAGTGAGTGAGTGAGTGAGTGAGTGAGTGAGTGAGTGAGTGAGTGAGTGAGTGAGTGAGTGAGTAGAATTGGAGTGAGTGAGTTGTGAGGGAGTGAGCCTGCGAGCGAGCGAGTTTGTGCGTGGCGTTTGTGCGGCTGGGTTTGTGCGTGCTTTGTGCGTTTGCGTGGCGTTTGGTGCGTCGTGTGCGTTGTCGTGGCGTGCGTGCCGTCGCGTGCGTGCGTGCGTGAGTGAGAGTCGGAGCACGCTCGCGCGGGATTTAACACACACGTGTTGCTCGCACGCAGACGGCTAGTGGCATGGCGTTCCTGGAGACAGAGAATCTCATACACCGCGATCTCGCCGCTCGCAACATCCTCGTCGGTGACAACAACACCATCAAGGTCGCCGACTTCGGCCTGGCCCGAATCATAGAGGAAGGTAATTAATTACAGGTAGTAATTATGATTCATGGAGGAAGGTTATTAATTATAGGTAGTAGTTAAGAATCATAGTGGAAGATAATTAATTACAGGTAGTAATTAAGAATAATAGAGAAAGGTAGTAAATTACAGGTAGCAATTAAGAATCACAGAGGAAGGTAATTAATTACAGCCTAGTAATTAAAAATCATAGAGTAATGTATTTAATTACAGGTAGTAATTACGAATCATAGAGGAAGGTAAGTCTGTACAGGTAGTAATTGAAAATAATAGAGGAAGGTAATTAATTACAAGTAGTAGTTAAGAGTCATAGAGAGTGAGGTAATTCTGCATAGGTAGTGATTTAGAATCACAGAGGAAGGTACTTAATTGCAGATAGTGCTCTATATCATAAAGAATGGTGAATAGGAATGGTGAATAGGTCAGCTAATATTCATTGACCTTTCTGTGTGAGTGAGATATCCATCACGTGCTTGTCACCGCGTACGTGCGCATGCTCAGTACTTCCGCGTATTTTTTACGATCGTTCTGAATACAACAATGTCGTGTAAAAATAATTAATAGCATTACAATACGGGTCATACACGTCGAATAAGCGGGATCATCAACTGCCAATTACTGTCGTATCATTAGAGCAGTTAATACGTCCGTTTGACCTATAGAATGTACAGATGTAATAACTAGAATAGGGAAGTAAGAAATAACAACCCATTTCTGTGGGTTGACACCTCATGATGTTTTGTTCCCCTGTGCTAACGCAGGCGCCATCTACACGCCGGGGCACGGCCCGAACGGTCGCAGCGACCTTCGGATTCCAATCAAATGGACAGCGCCTGAAGCGGCGATGCTACAGAAGTTTACCATCAAGTCGGACGTGTGGTCGTACGGCATCCTACTGCAGGAGCTGTTCACGAAAGGGCAGGTGCCGTATCCAGGTAAGGAACCGCCACTAACGTGAATACGCTACGATCATCTGTGCGCACTTCAACGTGCGAATTCTAACCGTAGGAAAGTTTCTAGCTAGCACGAGAGTGAGCATGAGTGACGTTGTCTGGGTTCAAATCTACACATCATTGTTCGCGCAACGTGTTATCGTGTCACGGAGATATTTCCAGTGATTCTTAATTCTAATGAAAAAATCTAAAAAACTAATTTCTCTAAAGTATTATCTAAGTAAAGCATCTAGGAATCCGTTTATCGGATTTCGGTTTTATGATAGTAGCCCTATAAGAATTATTTTATTTTATAAAAAAAATCCACGTAGCTAATCCGTCTCAACTGTTGTTAATAGAAAAATTAAATATGAAACATTTAACAATAAAACAAACTTTTCATCAGAAAATAACATCACTCTAAGACCTCATTTCTAATTAGATCTAATTTCGAAAGATCAAATTACGAAGTAGTATGACCACGCGTGTTCGTCACGTTCCAGGCATGACTAATCGAGAGGTGCTAGAGGCGATACAGCGTGGCTACAGGATGCCGCGGGCAGCGGACACGCCCAAGGAGGTGTACGAGATACAGATGATGTGCTGGTCGGAGGACGCCGAGAAGCGACCGACGTTTGAATATCTGTTCGTCTTCTTCGACGATTTCGCCGTTAACATCGAGCAGAGCTACGAGAGCGGGGACGTGCTCAGATGAGCAGCCGATAGGGAGAGAAAGAAGGGGGAAGAAAAAGAGAGAGAAAGAGAGAGAGAGAGTGGGGAGAAGGGCAGAACAACTCTAGCCGCCGTCCGCTACGTGATCGTTGGCCGTGCCTTTACCAGTGTACATACTTGTAATCAGTGTTGGAACATTGACTATCGTATACGCTGTGACCAGTATGTGAACTTGGCTGTCCACGTATTTACCGGTGCGCTCAGACATTCGCGAATGTTCACTCAATCTCCGTGACCGCTGTCCACTCTCTGGCCGCTAGCTGAGCGGCGGTATCGTTACGGCTGTGTGACGTCACTCCGTCCCTCCGTCCGGCCACATCTCGCCCCCGTTATGTTACCAGACGAACAACAGTGTCGGGTGGATGGACAGGCGTTTGTCCTCTTATTCTCGCGCATGCGCACGCTCACAATGTTACTGTAGATACTCGCGCGCGCAAATATTACCAGGAGTGTATAATATAGACTATATATATATATATTATACACTCCTGATATTATGATGTGTTAAATGTAAATACGATACATGCGATGGAAACTATACCCGAGTCTTTTTTTATTGGATTAAGAAAATTAGCTACGGTTTGCGATTTGATACGAGTTTTATTGTCTGTCGATTCCTGGCGAAAGTTTCCTGTCTGTGGTTGAACGCGGTATATAGAATATATCAGGAGTCTATCAATATTGATAGATTTCTGAATATATGGCATAATTTATATCTGACCAAGTTATATAGTTGATGAATGAGCTGATAATGCTGATCAAACATACGCCTAGTTGCAACGCCAGAGCCGTACGTCCTTCGGTGAATAAAGATTGCAAGTATAGATATAATTATTATCCACGTAGTTATGCTGAGGCTTCACGTTTAGATTCATTCACCCATACTACAGCGATCTTACACTCGCAACTGTAAGCGAATCGGATCGGAAAACAAACCCTGTGAGAGGAATCGAACGCATCGAATTTTTTCGCTATATACATTTTTTGGAATTTATTCGGAATTTTTGTTCGATATAAACGTAAAATAGATTAGCGTACGAGTAAATATTCGGCGCATGCATATAATTACCTGATACACGTGTTAACCGCACATTTCTCTCAAGCAGAAATTGTGATAGAATGACGGTTATGACTTATGCAATTGCATGATGGTTGTTCAAGCTATGACACGAAATAATTATATACACAGACCTGTGGAAGTTGACTAGATTCCGTTACGGGCTACATTGACGTTATATTTACTTTAGCGTCAGGATAAATAAAAACTAGTGTGTATACTATAGCATGTTCTATAAAATTTTAAAATACGAAGCGAGGCTTGCATGCAGAACTAGTCAGCGTGAGGGGATCTACATTGGATGTCACAGATTTCATGTGGTGGTGAAACTAGCAATGACCTTCGCTGTTGGCACAAATAAGTAATCTATTTATGTAATAGCATCATATCCTTGCGTTGCACATGTGATCTGCGATGGGGGGATACGTAGCTTAAGCTAATTAGAACATACTATGTATGATCTACGCTATCTCATTCATTATGTGTTGCTATAATGTCAACCCTATTCTTGAATAGTATCTTTCCAGAGAATTATGCGTGTGACTGGGACATAGTTATGCAATCTAAATATAAATGTAGGGCCTTGTAAAATACAATACAATCGTACTCTAATAATTGTTTCGATACTTGCTCATTAATTAGGGAGATTAAAGTGTAGCTACAATTATGATCATGATAATGACGCTAGCACTGTTTGTGGCAGTGTTGAGTATGAACACAGCGTTAATAATATAATATAAAGACGCATATAATGTCAAATCTACGTCACCGGCAATCTAAACAATTTATTAGAAATTTATTCGTTCTTATAGCTGTGCCGCCGGTCCGCGTACATACCTGGTAATACATAAACGGCGGAAAACTATATATAATGAAAGGATAGCTTACATTTTTATGCATTTTATTGTGCACGCGTATTACAGATTTATAGAATAAATAACTGTAACTGTTTGTAAGAACCAGTTTGTTATAGCCTGAACAAGAAATAAATATCCTCCAGTGAATTCTATAATATCTTACGTTACGTCTTGCTGATTTCTATACGTATCCAATTAAACTATACTACATAGCTTGCGCCTCGGGTTAGAGTCGTCAGTCAGGCGTAAGTACTTTATATGTTATCGAAATGATAAATTGAAGTAAAGAATATATACCGCAGCCGTAAGAGGGTGTGAAAAATCGATATCCGAATTTTTCACTTTAATAATCACAGCAGTTAGTTGTACTAAATATTCATGTCGTATCGCTAATAAAACTTTAAAAAATATTTTGTTAAAATTGTACGTTTAAAATGGAGAACAAACGCTCCTCGCTGTAGCTCAGCATGAAAAAAAATCCCCGTATCTCTCTTTAAAGTGATTACGTCACCGTAAATAGTAAAAAAAAAAAATCCACTTTTTCACAAAATATAAGTAATTCTGTTCACTTTTTATGGTTAAATTGCCGCATTATACTTCCTATTTTTTCTATATTGTTCGATGTGAACATACACTCGTGACTCATACATAGCCCATAGCAAGCAATTAATGTCAGGAACATATAATATCAAATCGTCGAGGTTTTTTTAGATTTTTAACTAGTTGAGAAAAAAATTTTATCAGGTAAGAATTTGACGATACGTTTAGTCCCGTTAGTTCTTACTTTTAATGTAAAAAAATGGCAACAAAAATTTTACAAATTTTACCATAGAAAATTCGTGACGTAGTCAATTTAATAATAATAGTGTTCTTTAGCGGACATAACACTAATTATTTTAAATCGGCTAATGGGTAAGAATGTGCTCTATACGATACAGTCATGCAATTGTGTGGGTTCGCACCTTGTCCAATGAATGAAACAGTATGTGTTGAAATTATATTGTTCGTTTAGAGAGAACATACGTCCTAGTAACTTAGTCTTCACAGGAGCTTAGCGTAAAATTAAAATTCGCATACACCAGTTTCATGTCAATAGAATATACCCTGACTCATGGATATTATCAGGGGTAAATAATGACATTCGACACGTTCCACATTTAAAGGATCCCTTTAAGTTTAGCTTCTTTGTTTATTCTGCCATTCCATATTGGAGCTCTCTTTCTTCCTCTTGCCAATTTTAAGCTTTCTCACTGCGGTCCACAGTGTTGAACCATAGACAAACACATATATATCTATGGTCGCATTGTCTATATGACGAGCTTTGTCTCTTTACGTCTTCGATATGATCCTTTTGACTTTGAAGACTAATATCTGTATGAGGTTATGACCATTGATCTATCTATAACCAACTCAGTTATATACGGATCAGTGGTTATGACATAATACGCTATGCCCTCGCTATCTATTCTACAAACGAATATTATATAAATGAGACACTAGGGGGCGCTCGCAGGTTTCCAAAAACTTATGCGCATGCGCACTTGCGCGATATGATAGACGAGACGATGGATGTACTGTTTACATACATAATGTACAGTACAGGTGTGTTGGCTGTGTTTTGATCACCGGTATTGAAGTTTTTTGAATAATTTGTGTTACATTAAAATAGCAGAGCGTTTAACTATACGAAGCATTTCATGTAGCAGTTTCTCAAGGCTGAGTTCAGTACTGACAGTAGTGTAAAATATTTCCATATTATCAGTAATATCAGGATAGCCTAGGTCCTATATTATCTTACTCCTGGTAATATCACATCAATCAGCTAGGGGTGACCAAGGACTGAAGAGCTAAATATATTTAGCTCCTTGGGGGTGACGGGTGTCATAAATAATAATTAATAAATACTAGACACTCCACACTCCTGCCATGGACATGGTATATGACACTTTACCATATGACACTCCTGGTATTATTAACGCAGTGGCTGGAGGTACGGTAGCCGGCGGTCGTTCAAGCCCATTTTTGGCGTTAGGGTTAGAGTTAGGGTTAGGGTTAGGTTTAGGGTTATGGTTAGGGTTAGGGTTAGGGTTCTAGCTCATCTAAACTCTCAAATCGTGAATTCATTTCCAAAGGCGTTATTTCGAAATCTGGCGCCACCGCCGCCGTCTTTGTCTCGTTAAGTATGAAAGCGAATGGACTCCCGTACCCGTAGCCTCGAGACATTAAGATACGGCTACCGTACCCGTAGCCACTGCCTATTATTAATGCAGATAAGGTCTATGTCCCCCTGACCTCTGTTTGACCTGGCTCGTTTAGCTATTTCTGACTAATATCAATACTCAGGTAGACTGACCATTACTCAGGTAGGTTGACCATTACTCAGGTAGGTTGACCATTACTCAGGTAGGCTGACCATTACTCAGGTAGGCTGACCATTACTCAGGTAGGCTGACCATTATCCAGGTAGGCTGACCATTGCTTAGGCATGTAGGGTGACCATTACTCGGATAGACTGACCATTACTCAGGTAGACTGATCATTACTCAGGTAGGCTGACCAATACTCAGGTAGGCTGACATGCATTATTCAGGTAGGCTAACCAATATTCAGGTAGGCTGACCATTATTCATGTAAGCTGACCAATACTTAGGTAGGCTGACCATTACTCAGGTAAGGTAAATATTAGTCAGGTAGGCTGACCGTTACTCGGGTAGTCTGGGTCACGATCTCATAAAATATCATTATATATTATTATTATTATCATTATCATTTTATAGCATATAATAATACAGGGCGTATAATTTTATCATTCGTCTTTTAAAGTAGTAAACATTCTTTTAAGTTGACTAAGTCACGAATTTTCTATGGTAAAATTTGTAAACTTTTTGTTGCCATTTTTTACATTAAAAGTAAGAACTAACGGGACTAAACGTATTGTCAAATTCTTACCTGATAAGATTGTTTCTCAACTAGTTAAAAATCCAAAAAACCTGAACGATTTTATATTAGCGTTCCTGACATTAATTGCTTGCTATGAGCTATGTATGCGTCAAGAGTGTGTGTTCACATCGAACAATATAGTAAAATAAGAAATATAATGCAGCAGTTTAACCATAAAAGTGAACAGAATTACTTGTATTTTGTAAAAAAGTGGAAATATTATTTTTATTTTTTACTATTTACGGTGACGTAATGACTTTAAATGTATGAAATAGGGCAGCGAAACCCCCTATACAGTCATCTGGTCGTACAGTCATCGTGTAGGGGCAGCGAAACCCCCTATACAGTCATCTGGTCGTACAGTCATCGTGTTAGTCAGAAATAGCTAAACGAGCCAGGTCAAACAGAGGTCAGGGGGACATAGACCCTACGAGCATTATTAATTACAAAAATTTATAGGGCACAATATATTGGTTTGCATTATGGTTATTGTGTTACTGATTACTGTTAGGTCCTGCATAGCCACAAGTTCCCTTCTCGCTTAACACTACGTTGGCTAACAGTCGTGTAACGTTACAGTGGCCTACGTGTAACAGTCGGAGAGCCTGGTCGGTTTAGGTCCTGCACACAACCTACCAAATAAACCGCACCACATATTATCCAAAGTCTAACAAACTAAGTTAGTTTCCTGGAGAAGTGGCAGGGCTTAAATGGTATAATAGTATAAATAGTGGGATAAAAAATAGACTAACTTCGCGTTTTTCTCCAAGAACTTCATCTGTTCACAAATTACAGAGAGTTTTTTGCCGTCATAACGGAAGATATGATTTTAAGGGATTCGATCTACGCTGTATTCGCCACAAGAAACGATTGTTGAAATCTCTTTAATTTATGCATATGTGGGAAATTATTAGGTAAAAATGCTAAGCTAATCCATTTTTATCCAGTTGGGCATGAAAATACCAAGTTAACACATTTTACCAAACCGTTTTACTCTCCAATGAAAGCAATTCCATTTCTGCTAGAAATGAGTCATAGATGGAATGTGGAGGTGCCATAGTTTCTCAAGTAGGCAGTGTGCAGAATGTATCACACTACCATACATTACTAGTCAGGCCTTTCAATCTTATCCTTGTATTAGTATTATTAATAATAATAAACAACACTCAGTATACATTTTCTTTTGTATTTTTTTCAGATTTACATTACGGGATTATCTTTTTTAACTGAAGTTCACTGCCCTGCTGTATCTACTAATTAATACTCTGTGGAGTAATCCTGATTAGGTCGGACTACAATGAACTGGCCAACTTCTCAACCATGTGGTTCGTGGGAAAAAGTGAGAGTGTTGGGGAGTGGCGGATTTGGAGCAGTCATGCTATGGAAAAACACAGGCAATAGCCAGGTGTGTTACGCGTTGCATGTTTTTGTACATTACGTTTTAGCTGCTTGGAACTCTATGCATAACTTTGACAGCGGATTTAAATCTCGCATTAATGGGAGCCTTTATATCCGTCGTATGAAAATCGAAATTGCTTACTGATTTTCAATGTTTTTGTTTGTTGTCTGTTGTCACAGAACATTTTGAACGTATTGCAGGAGATAGCGCTCAAGGAGTGTCGGTTGCTAGACGACCAGATAACGGAGAAGATGCGTCGTCGCTGGACGCTGGAGGTCGACATCATGACCCGCCTTCACCACGAAAACGTCGTGTTCGGCATCAGCCTCCCCGACGACCTCAGGGCGCTGACGTCCGAACTGCCCTTCATGGCCATTGAGTACTGCCGTGGTGGTGACCTGAGGAGGGTGAGGAGCATAGTAGTGCACGCAGTGGTGATGGTGGTGGTAGTAGAAGTAGTGTCATAGTGGTCATGGAATAGTGGTAGTAGGAGTAGTAGTAGTAGTAGTAGTAGTAGTAGTAGTGGTAGTGGTAGTGGTAGTGGTAGTGGTAGTGGTAGTGGTAGTGGTAATAGTAATAGTAGTAGTAGTAGTAGTTAGTGATGTCCCGATGATCGATTATAATCGAAAATCGATCTATTATAGTTTCAAATTCGATAATCGATTATGAAAACAAATAATCGATTATCGGAAATACCAAAACAAACAAACAAGGAACTGTACTCACGATGTGTGAATTTATATGACAAGTAGAGCACAAGTAGAACATAGGTTCTGTCTGATTGCAGAGCTGTACTAGTGTACTTATAGACATGGACAAATTGGACAGTGTTTTTGTTTTTGTTTGACACTGTCCCACAGATGTTATCCGTAGATGATATTCTACTCTCCGTATTGTTTGTTACATTGTGTTGGAGAGGATATTCCATTGGCAGGACATTAACTCGGCTACACAGCCTACACTATTAGAACACAAACAACTTACTTAATATAATAAAGAACAATTAAGTCTTGATCATGTTTGTTTAAAACTTTTAATGTTTTAATAAAGGCATTTAACCCATTCTTTTTAAATTGCATTAAAATACCTGTGAACTAGCGAACAGACATTGCATATTACATACAGCAACCTTCACGGAGTTAAAACATGATCATAAAACATGATAATATTGAATGCTATGTATAATTGTATATACAAAGTAAGATTAAATTAAATCTATGCTGTTATTAACTGATTATCTGATTATAATCGATTATCGATCGGTTAAGGGAAACCGATAATCGATTATGAAATTCCAGTACTTCCAGTTCCCATCACTAGTAGTAGTAGTAGTAGTAGTAGTAGTAGTAGTAGTAGTAGTAGTAGTAGTAGTAGCAGCAGCAGCAGCAGCAGCAGCAGCAGCAGCAGTAGCAGTAGCAGTAGCAGTAGCAGTAGCAGTAGCAGTAGTAGTAGTAGTGGTCATGGAATAGTGGTAGTGGGAGTAGTAGTAGTAGTAGTAGTAGTGGTAGTGGTAGTGGTAGTGGTAGTGGTAGTGGTAGTGGTAGTGGTAGTGGTAGTGGTAATAGTAGTAGTAGTGGCGGCGGCGGCGGCGGCGGCGGCGGTAGCGGTAGTAGTAGTGTCATAGTGGGCATGGAATAGTGGTAGTGGTAGTGGTAGTGGTAGTGGTAGTGGTAGTGGTAGTGGTAGTGGTAGTGGTAGTAGGTAGTAGCAGTAGCAGTAGCAGTAGCAGTAGCAGTAGCAGCAGCAGCAGCAGCAGCAGCAGCAGCAGCAGCAGCAGCAGCAGCAGTGGGATTTTAGTATGGTATTACCTTATGATGAAGAGCCCAACACACCCAACTGCTTTCAAACTGTATTTAGTGGCCCTGCTTAATTTACGTTACCCCATAAAATAGTGAAATAATTTTAAATATGTTACTGACTGATGTTACTATAGCGAGCGGTATTATTTGTGTAGGTGTTAATCAAACCAGAGAACTGCTGCGGGCTTCAGTGGAAAGAGGCATTGCGCATCGCTACTCACATCTCTGCTGCCGTCGATTACCTTCACAGCTGTCGAATCGTCCACAGGTGTGCGTGTGTGTGTTCGTCCATGTTGTGATATGAGCTGACATGCGTTGCATTTTTTTATTGTTTTACGACAGTTTTCGCATTATCAAAAAGTGTTTTTGTCGTAAGTGCTAAATCTTTTAAATGTTTGTCCTTCCCAATAGCTGTACATCACTTAGGACATTTTAAATATGCATTTATTTTTTTCTTCTCTGCTTTTCTTCTTGCCTATCTGGCAATTAGCATGTTTGGTTTTGCCTAGACACTCTCTCTGTGGTAGGCGGTGGTACGTAGAATTTACAGTCGGAAGTTTCTTTGCTGTCTGTTTTCAACATTGATATACTCTTGCGTGCAGAGACTTGAAGCCAGAAAACATAGTTCTGCAGACGAGTGGTGAAGGCTTCATGTACAAGCTGATTGACCTTGGGTATGCGAAGGAACTGGACCAGGGCAGCATCTGCAACTCGTTCGTGGGCACGCTGCACTACCTTGCCCCGGAGTTGATGTCCGGTCAGAAATACACATGTATGTCGATATTGTATACCCGCTTATTTGCATGATCAGAATAGCACGGACACATTTTGGGTTCCATGAGTATCGTGGCGTAATATTAGATTCATTGTAAAGCCGCTGCCCGATGCACCACCACGCATGACATTCGTAGTAACCCACCTATCAGGGCTACCATTTTTTTACCACATTTATAGTAACAGGGCTCTTCCCAAGAATTTCAAAAGACGTTGTTTGTGGAGGCATGGGGGAGGGGCTGGAAAAGGCTTGTAGTAATTGGAGTGAATTACGTGTGTCATATGTGGCCCCAATACACATATATATATATATATATATTATATATAATATTTAATAATGTAACAGGTTTAATACAACACTATAAGTATCATTAATTGTTATTAATTAATAATAACAGTTTATTATTATACAAGCAAATTTTGTCGTCGAGTTGTTCCACGTGCGTCTTCGTTGCGTGATCTCACGATCGTCATCCCTCGCTGTGTGTGTGTGTTATAGGCACAGTTGACTATCAGAGTCTCAAGATTATTATGGATGGCTATGGGATCTAATCTATTATTGGATCTATCTATTATTATTATGGATAACTATTAGATGTCATCTATTATTGGATCTATCTATTATTATTATGGATAACTATTAGATGTCATCTATTATTGGATTTATCTATTATTATTATGGATAACTATTAGATGTCATCTATTATTGGATCTATCTATTATTATTATGGATAACTATTAGATGTCATCTATTATTGGATTTATCTATTATTATGATGGATAACTATTAGATGTCATCTATTATTGGATTTATCTATTATTATTATGGATAACTATTAGATGTAATCTATTATTGGATTTATCTATTATTATTATGGATAACTATTAGATGTCATCTATTATTGGATTTATCTATTATTATTATATGGATGACTTTTGGATCTCACGATAATCATCTCTCACTGTCTGTGTTGTAGGCACCGTCGACTACTGGAGTCTCGGCTTGACCGTGTTTGAGACAGTCACGGGCAAGCGTCCGTTCCTCTGCAACCTCTCACCGGTCCAGGTGCTCAGCACGATCGCACAGAAGCGCCGCGAGCACATCTGCGCCTACCAGGACGTCGCCGGCGAGGTCGTCTTCAGCGAGCGGCTGTGTTACGCGCACCGGCTGCCGCCGCGAGCGCAGCGACGCGTCGAGGCGTGGCTCGCTCTCATGCTGGACGTCGACCCGGCGACGCGCGGGGGCGGCGTCGGCGACGACGGCCGCCGACGGTGCTTCCCCCTGCTGGCGGAGGTTGCCGGCGTGCGCGTGGCGCGGGTGCGGGATCTCGGCAGCGGCGCGGCGTGGGAGTACGAGGTCGACGAGGGGACGACGCTCACGCAGCTGCGAGCGTGGATAGCGCGCGACGCGGGCGCGTGCGGCGACGCGCGCCGGCTCCTGCTGTTGCCCGGCGGGAGGCGCGTGCGCGATGATGCGAACGTCGGCGAACTCTGCACGACGCTGCACGACGACCGGACGCTCTTCCTCCTTCCCGCCGACTTCCCCGAGGAGCGCCTTCCGGCGACGGCGGCGCCGCGCATCCCGGAGCCGGTTGCCGCGGCGACGGACGACGCGGCGACGCCGCTGCGGTACAGCGACGCGAAGCGGTGCTGGACGCACGCCGTGATGTTCTGCCAGGGGAGGGTCGACGACTACGCAGAGATGGCGGCCGGAGAGGGTGCCGCCGTCGCCGACCTCGCCAGCGTGGGTGCGGCGTTCGCGCACGACCTCAGGGAGGTCGTGGAGGGCGCGACGGTGCTGCGGACGCTGCTGCGCGTGTTCTGTGCTGCGGCGCAGGCTGACGTGGGGGCGTGCCGGCGGGCGTGCGGCGACGCCGGCCCGGCCGCCGCGTGGGAGGCGGCGATGCTCGCCACGCAGCCGTTCACCGCGCTTGTGGACCGAGCAAACGACCTCCACCGCCGCGCCGCCGCGCTGGACGAGCGCCACTGCATGCTCCGGCAGATGGCGCCGCAGTGGCAGAGCCACCTGGCGGCGCTCACAGCAATCAAGGGCGCGGCGGCGGAGGCGTACGAGCGGCTGCGGGGCGTGCCGCGGGAGCAGCGCGCTGCGCGCTCGATGGACGCGCGCGACGCGGCGCGAGTCGTCGCCGCGTGCGCCGACAGGTGGCGCCACTGCGTCGACGAGCTTCGCGCGCACCTGTCGCGCGTCGCCGCGTGCGGGCGCGGCGTGCGGGATGCGCGGCCGCAGCTGGAGGCGACGCGGCGCGACCTGGCGGCTGCCTGCAGCACCCTCGACGCTCGCCAGCGCGAGCGGCAGCGCGACATCTGGGACCTCGTCACACGCTGCATCTCTACCGCCGCCGCTCCCCGACCGTCCGGCGGGCTGTCGAACGGAGTCGCCGACACGGCGACTCGGGGAAGCGAAGGCGACCTCTCTGTGCAGGGCGGGCGCTCTGCGCAGGGAAAGCAGCGGCGCGGTATCGAGGATTTGAGAACCGACGTGGATTCGGGGAGCGCGACGCCGGATGCGTTCTTCGCGCATGGAACCAGGGAGGTGTCGACGACGCTGGCGTGCAGCGAGACAGCTCACACGGAGCTGGAGAAGATGTTCGTGCAGCTGCAGGTGAATAAGGAGCGGTCAGAGGAGTGCGACTGGAGCTTCATGAACCAGCAACACAAGTAGCTGCTGTGAGGGAGGGGGAAGGAATACATGAACCAGCAACACAAGTAGCTGTTGTGAGGGAGGGGAAAGGAATCCATGAAATTCTTTCCTCCTTCCCGATGACACAACAGCTACTTGTGTTGCTAGTTCATGGATTCCTTTCCCCTCCCTCACAACAGCTACTTGTGTTGCTGGTTCATGTATTCCTTCCCCCTCCCTCACAGCAGCTACTTGTGTTGCTAGACATGAACTAGCAACACAAGTAGCTGTTGTGTTGTGTTGGGGAGGGGAAAGGAATCCATGAACTAGCAACACAAGTAGCTGTTGTGTCATCGGGAAGGAGGAAAGAATACATGAACTAGCAACACAAGTAGCTGTCGTGTTGTGTCGGGGAGGGGGAAATAATACATGAACCATCAACACAAGTAGATGTTTAGTTGTTGGAAGGGGGAGCCTCGATCCGTTGTTGGTTGAGAAAATATTCTGGGCTTTCAATTGTTTGATGATTATCCTGATGGATCAAGTGGGATTTTTACAGTGACGTCAACTGCATTATTTAGACGGATTATAGTAAATGAATTTGACATTCCAAACATTTTCACTGCTCAGATATTGAGCCGCAGGGTGATATTAAATATTTTATTTAGCAGTTTAAAATTTACTCAAATGTAAATAAATAAATATGTAGGTACATATATGATGTATATAATATATAACTAGCAAAATTGGCATTCAATAATAGAGAATACAAAGAATGCATGTGATTTCTTTAACAGTTTAATAACATTATTAAATGAAAGAACTGGTTGGGAAATTGCTACATTTTAAAAGTTGGGTCTTGAGTATGATATCTGTTTAAAATTAAGAAATGTATATTGATATTTTATTGCTTTGATATGAAGTACTGAGTGCGACAAAGTAAGATTGTATACAATCAAGATTATGGCGTGCTTTCATATTGTGCGTTTAACGCTATACCGTCTCATGTGACTGCATACTAGTTATTTACTAACGTCAATGCTGGCATTGCTAATGTTTTATCCTGGTTATTTTATATTAGTAAGTGGTCAAAATAGGTGTGATTTTAAAGCTTGACCATTCTGCTTGTAAATAATGTGATTAAGAAATTAAACTTGTTTTCACTGTATGCTGTAATTGTTACCATTTTATTGGTGTAAAACTGCTCAAGCCTCAGCTTCTATGTAGGAACAGGGTCCCCATGGCCCTTTAAAGTCCTTGAATGCTGTCCTTTGTCCTTGAAAGTCTTTAATTTGTTCTTTTGTCATTGAAAGTTCTTGGTAATATAGGTCCAAGTCCTTATTTTATGTCTAATGTCCTGGAATTTTACATTTTTGACCTTGAAATGTCCTTGAATAAATAATTCACGTTTTTGTGGGAACCATGTACTGAGTACCTAGCAGTAATAATGTACATATAGAATCAACCATCACGAAAAACCAAGAAAAAAACAATATCTTTTCATTCAATATCTGATATTCTATCTATGTCTATCTATCTATATCTGACATGTCTATCTATTTATAGGGTACTTTAATCTATATCCTAGCAGGTTATATTATCTCGTGAATAAGTGATCCCCCTCTCCCAAATAGTATCGCCTACGACCTCGTTAGCACGGTGAATTTTATTCTGGCAAATGGCTGGTTTTCAGCTTCAACTTTTTTACCTCCCGAAGCACAAAATATGATTATACGGCTCTAATATGCGTTTTTACCATCACACAAACAGATACACGCACACATTAATGGACGCGCACGCGC